TTTCTGATTATTTTATAGTTTGATAAAATAGACATACAGTAAAATGTTTTAATATTTCAGAGTCCCTGCTGCCAGAACAACTATATATGTCGGTTTTGCCACGATGACACTGAGAACCACACGTTGGACAGGGCCAACATCTCAGAAGTAGAATGTCTTGCTTGCAATAAGCAACAGCCACTTAGCCAGACGTGCTGTAACCCTGATTGCGGCATAAAATTTGGAAATGTAAGTAGATTGTTTAAGGACCATGAGTATGGTGGAAAGGGCGTCTAGAGCTTTGTGTATGTAAAAAAGAATGATAACACAAAATTACATTGGACAGTGCCTGTACATATAAATATACTTCAAATAGCAGTAGTATGATCTTCATCATTTATATAAGGATAATGATTATATCTGGGGATTAAATCTGCTATAGTTCTTTTTGGTAGCTCTCACCCACCCCGTGCAGTGCAATACTCATGCTCTCTTTTTACACATATTCAGTACAGCAATGGGGAATAAAGTATATATATATATATATATATATATATATATATATATATATATATATATATATATATATATATATATATATATATATATGTATTATATGTATTATATGTATTATATGTAGTATATATATTATAGTATATAGATATGTATTATATGTATCTATAAGTATACTATAGATCTATATAGATATATATATATATATAGATTATATAATATATATATATATATAGATATAATATATATATATATATTCGATAGATAATAGATAGATCACGATAGATAGGATAGATAGCTAGATATATCTATAGATAGACAGATATCTATATATTATATATATAGTATATTATATATATATATATCCTATATATATATATATTATATAGTATATATATATAAATATGATATATTATATATATAATATTATATATTAATATATATAATAAATATTATATTGATATATATATCGAATAAATATTAATATTATATAATATATATATAAATAAATATTATATATATATATATATAATAATATATATATTATATATATAATAAATATTATATTATTATATATATAATAAATATTATATATTATATATATATAATAAATATTATATATTATATATATATAATAAATATTATATATATATATATATATAATAAATATTATATTATATATATATATAATAAATATTATATATTATATATATATAATAAATATTATATTATATATATATAATAAATATTATATATTATATATATATAATAAATATTATATATTATATATATAATAAAAATAATATATTATATTATATATATATTAATATATAATATTATTATATATATAATAATATATTATATTTACATATATATATATATAATATATAATATTTATTATATATATATAATATATTATATTTACCATATGTATATATATAATATATTATATTTATTATATATATGATATCATATTTATTATATATGTATAATGTATTATATTTATTATATATATAATATATTATATTTATTATATATATAATATATAATATTTATTATATAAATATAATGTATTATGTATATAATGAATATAATATATTATGTATATATAATGAATATAATATATTATGTATATATAATGAATATAATATATTATGTATATATAATAAATATAATATATTATGTATATATATTATATGTATGATAAATATAATGTATGTATATGTTATGGTTCATTATAGTAAGGTTTAGAGGTGTGCTTTGGAAGCTTAATGTAGTTGTTTGAAAACTGAAGGCTCTCAGTTATACAGTAAAAACTTGCATCCAGAATTCTTATGATTAAAAAAGTATTTATCTTACAATACCCAATTTTTATTTACCCATTCAATTTCCAAACTACTCCCCTCTTCCCAAAAGTCCTTTTGTGATAAGGATTTGGGTATGTAGTGTTTTTAAGATATTTCACATATTTCTTTTATTTATTTTGTCCATTTTTGTTTTTCCAGTCAAGATATTAAATTGATTTTCTTTTTTTATTCTTTTCAGTACTACTGTGGTTTATGCAAGCTGTTTGATGATGAAGATAGACAGCAGTACCATTGTGATGGGTGTGGCCTTTGTCGTGTTGGAGGCCGGGATAAGTTTTTCCATTGCGACACGTGCGAGATGTGTCTCCCTATCAGCATTGTCGACACTCATAAGGTGATTATGCCTTCTCTTTTCTTACAGTTCTTTTATTTCTAGTGTCTTTTTTTTCTCAATTGTCTCCTATTATGTTCTTTTCATGACTCCTCTTCTGTTTTTTTTTTTTTTTTTTTATCTCTTTGTTTTAGTCCATTTTCATTTGTCTTTTTGATCTCCATTTTGCTCCATTCTTCATTTTTATTCTTAATCTCTTCCTTTCCTTCTCTCCTTTCTACTTGTCTAATCTTCCCTCATTACCCATATATGCTTTATTTTCCCTACACTAGTTTTTCATATTTTGTTTCTCCCATTAGTTTAATATTTTTCTCACCCCCCTCCCAGTTCCCATTTTTGCCCCACATCAATGCTGTTCAATTTTTATCCTTGCCTTGTGTTTCTTTTTTTCTTTATTTATGGTTATTATCTTCCCCTCTGTATGTTTTTCTGTTTTTTCCTATCTTCTTCTTTTACTTCTTTTTCTGTTACATCTACTTTTCCTGCCCTTTTCTAATAATATATATTGGTCAGTATATTTGTAAATGAGATTACCACTATGAAGTATACAAAGAAGACTCTCTTTTCAATAAAATGGAAGTAACAAGTAAATTTGCTTTTGCAGTGCATCGTCAAAGTCAGCAAGGCCAACTGCCCTGTCTGTTTAGAGGACATTCATACGTCACGCATCGTCTCTCACGTACCATCTTGTGGTCACCTGATCCATCGACCCTGTTTCCATAGTCTCATAAAGGCAGGGTTCTATGCCTGCCCAACGTGTGGTACTTCCATGATGAAGATGAATGATGTAAGTGTGCCTTTCCCTCTCTGATATTTTCCTATGTTTTGGGGGTGGCATTTCTGGTTTGTGAATTATTTGTTTGATTTTAATTCATGTTTTATAAAGAAGCCTTTGTATAGTATTTGTAGTTATTTTTTGCTTTTACATGCTAAACACTTGGATGATAT